AAAAAAGAAAAAAGAAAAAAAGAAACTTGAGAACAGCCGGGCTCAGTGGCTCAGCCTGTGATCCTGCACCTTGGGAGGCTGAGGTGAGTGGATTGTTCGAGACCCGCCTGGGCAACTTGGTGAGACCTCACCTCTACAATAAATCAAAAAATTAGCTGGGTGTGGTAGCACGCGCCTGTAGTTCCAGCTACTTGGAAGGCTGAGATGGAAGGATTGCCGGAGCCCAGCAGGTCGAGGCTGCGGTGACTGGGAGCGGCCACTGCACTCCAGTCTGGGTGAGAGTGAGACTTCAACTTGAAAAAAAAAGAAAGAAAGAAATTTGAGAACAATGCCTCTGAGTTAGGGAAAGCCAAGCCTTCTGCAGCCCTTATTAAACTTTGCCCCCCCAACCCCCCTCCCTGCCCACTTCTCCATTTGTCAATTGGTCTCATAAATATTCATAAAGGAATTGACCCCAAATAAGAATTATTCTAAAAAAAACTTTCCTAAGCCTTTTAATGTTACTATCCTGTAACAAGTAATTATTTGAATATAATCTCTGGTCAGTTGTATTATTGTAAAACTAGGGAATGATCTTATTTTAAAGTCATTTTCTGAAAGTTTAATCAGTGCTTGGGCATGTTGGCTCATACCTGTAATTCCAGCGCTTTTAGGAGGACAAGGTGGGAGGATTGCTTGAGCCCAGGAGCTCAAGACCCACCTGGGCAACACAGTGAGAGCCTATCTCTGTTTATTTTAAAATACTATAATTTAAAAAATTAATCATGATTTCAGAAATAAGGAGTTGATTCTGTGACTGGACATTCTCTGCCAGTCTCAAAGCCAGATACCTCCATATCCTAGAGCCTGCAAGCTTCAAATTCTCTCCTGTCCTCTCCCCTCCCAGATGATTAAGATGAAAGTTAAGGACGAGCTGGAGGCATGAGTTCAGGCCTGGACTAGAATAGAAACAGTAGATACGCCTTTCAAGTGGGCAGGAGCTAGGCGGCCCCCTTAACACTGACAGCAAGTCGGGGGTGGCAGTTCTTGTGGGCGAGGGCTTGGTGGACCCACATGGCCACAGCTGTGGCCCTGTGGAACACAGCTGTGGGACTGAGAGTGTGGACTGCCGCCTTCCCTCTCTCCTTCCCCATAGACCCTGTGAGAAAACAGTCACTGGTTTTGCCCGCACATAGTTGCATTTTGTCCTTGTGCCACTCACACAGAAAATTCCCCTTCCTCTTTCTCTCAAAGTCTCCTTGTCTTCATCAGATATCTGCTGGTCACCCACAGAGAGGCAGACAATTGTGGTCTCATTTCTACTAAAACAAGAAATTCCCAAAGCCTGAGAAAGTCTGAATCTGGTTGTCAGGCCGCTAGCTTGATCTGTGATCTTGGGAAAGTAGCTTGACCTGTCTGAGTTCCAGCTCCCTCATCTATAACATGGGACATTGTATCATCTTTGAGAGATTTTGGAGGTTCTACGTAAGCACCAAGCTCAGTCTGGCGTGTAAAAAAAAAAAGGTGCTTAGTAAATCACAGCTGCTGTGATTATTGTAAGCTAGCATTATTTTTTTTTTTCTTGGCAGAGAAATGTTACCAGGTTTGGCCTCAAACTCCTGGCCTCAAACAATCCTCCCACCTTGGCTCCCAACGTGCTGGGATTACAAGCATGAGCCAGCACCTGACCAGCTATTATTAATTTATACAGACTAATCAAATTGCCAGTTTTAATTCTTCGGTTTATATATTTTTTTGAGTTGGAGTCTCACTCTGCCACCTAGTCTGAAGTGCAGGGGCACATTCATGGCTACCGTAGGCTTGACCTGCTGGACTCAGGCAGTCCTTCCTCCTCAGCCTCCTGAGTAGCTAGAACTACAAGCATGCACCACCACGCCAGCTAATTTTTTGATTTATTGTGGAGACGAGGTCTTGCCAAGTTGCCCAGGCTAATCTCGAACCTCTGGGCTCAGACAATCCTCTTGCCTCTGCCTCCCAAAGTGCTTGGATTGCAGGCATGAGTCACCGCACCCAGCCTCAGTCTGTATTTTATACTTTATTATTACTCAAGACTTTCTCACTCTGGCCAGATGTTCACTTACCTTTATGTGATGAACTGTGCTTAGGATCCAGAAGGCCAGAGGGGGAGAGGATGTTGTGTTTCTCTCCTTATTCACAGCTGTTTCACCTTGTTGTTTGTTGCTGGGGAGAGGAGGAGCGCTCACACTTGCCTGAAAGCTAACAGTGGCAGGACAGAAAACCCTTCCCTTACCATGGTAGTCATTTCTATCTTTAATTTTTGGTTGTTCCCAAAGGTAAAGTAACAGAAACTAATATATAAACTTAGGGTTTGCAGTCAACTTGGTCCTGAGAGTGGTAACTCTGAGATGAGAATCTGATGACCTGGGCTTGTGGTAGAGTCAGGATGGTCCTCTTGCTCCCTCTTCATGCCTGTTAAGAGTGCTCTTTGCCGGGTGTGGTGGTTCAAGCCTATAATCCCAGCACTTTGGGAAGCAGAGGCGGGAGGATTGCCGTGTCCAGGGGTTTGAGACCAGCCTGGGAAACTTGGCGAGACCTCGCCTCTACAATAAATCAAAAAATTAGCCAGGTGAGGAACTACAGGTATGTAGTTCCAGCTACTTGGAAGACTGAGGTGGAAGGATGGCCTGAGCTCAGGAGGTTGAGGCTGTGGAAACAGCCATGATGATGATGCCACTGCACTCCAGCCTGGGCCACAGAGTGAGACTTTGACTCAAAAAAAAAGAGTGCTCTTCAGATGTCCCTAGCAAGCTCTGAGTTACTTCCAGTCATGGCTTCTAGAGCTGCTGCCTTTTTCTTCCTGCTTAATTCCAGACTTCTGTGCAAGGCCCAGCCCTACTCTGCGTGGGGTCTCCACCCCGCCACCTTCTTGCTGTCTGGGCTTGTCTTCTCTCCACACTTCCCACAGGGGTCCCCAAGCCCTGGTCATGCCCCTCTCAGGGCCTTTCCCAGACCAGTTCCCTCCTCTCTCTTGAGCCACGCTGTCTGTCATCTCAAGGGTCCAGTAGATAAGGTGGATAAATGCTAAATGATAAATGCTTAATTCATTTTGAACGTTAGCTCATCGGCACTTGGTCTACAACCGTGGGTCTCAGCCTTCGCTGCACATTGGAATCACCCAGAAAGCTTTTTAAACAACCCTGATGCTTGAGTCCCACCCCAAAGATTCTGACTGACTTGCTCTGAGGTGTGACCTGGGCATCGGAATGTTTTAAAGCCTTCTGGATATTCAGTTCGCAGCCAGGGTTGCGAACCACTTGTCCACACACCCACTCTGTTCCACCCCAGGGTCGTGTTCTAATAATAGCTTTATTTGTTCACCAAGTGACTGTGTACCACAGTGTTTAAAACAGTTCATGTGAGTATATAAAACATCCAAGTTGCTATTTCCACTTTGTGTTAATTTGGGAGATTGGGGAAGGAAATGCTCAGGTTCCTTTTTTGAAAATTCACTTCCTAGAATTGAATTCTAGGAATTCCTAAGGCTAGAAATTCCCTCTGGGTTCCCTGAGCAGCAGTAGCAGCAACAGGTAGCATTTTCCAAGCCCTCAGGGCATAACAGGCTCAGTGCTCAGGATCCCAGAAGCTCTTTATGCACATCCTCCCTTTTAATCCTTGCAGAAAGCCCACTAATGGGCCCCAGTTTTTGCCCTACTTGATGAACAAGGGTCAGAGAGCACATGCCATCTGCCCAGGCCTGCACAGAAAGCAGGGCTGAACTTGGCCCAGGCACAGCTGGTTCTCAGTCTGTACTCACGGGAAGAAGCACATATCCAAATAACTTCCGTCCAAAAGCTATCCCGGCTTTCACTTCGGGGCTGCACGCTTTTTAAATGGGGTTGTCTTCTTTTATCGAGAACTTCCCTAAATATGATTTCAGATTCACTCCCGAGTCCCAGTAACCGGGATTGGCAGAGCCGTTTAATAAGTGAGTTTTTTCTGTATACTCGGGAGACGTTGTTTGAGGAAAGTGTCTGCTTCTAGCACCCGGCCCCACAGAACCCACCCCTTCCTTTTCTGAGTCTTTCTCATAATCTTGGAAATGGGGAATAAGCCATGCTCTCCTCATTTTGCATGCCAAGTACTAGTTATCTACTAAATGGTAGTGACACTGCCCAGTGAGTGACAGCTGTCCCCAAGTGATAGCTGTCTCCATTGCAGGCTCTGGGCTGGGCTCTTCCTATCTGGTCTACTGTTCACATTTTACAGATGAGGAAACAGAGACTGAGAAAGCAAGCTACTCACTCCAGTGGTACAGCTAATAACAGGACGCTGTGTTTGTTTGCTTGTGTTTTTTTTTTAACTTACTTCTAAGCAGAACTGCATGGTTTCATCCACTGCAGGCCTCAGCTTAACCTTGCAGACCTCAGCTGTGCAGGCGGTGACATCTGGACAGCCATGTCTGGAATAAACCACTGAAGTATAACTGGATGTTCTTTTTGGGTATCATGGGGTCCTTTAAAAGCTGTTGTGGAACAGGCTTCTCTCCCAACCTTGAGCATCGGACTGAGGTCACACAGGCTCTAAAGATTCCTTCTCAGCCATCCGGTATGAGGCTGCTTGGGAGTGAACAGTCCCAGAGGGTGAGAACTGGCTCTTGGAGTGCTTCACACTCCACCCGTCTCTGAGCTTTTCGCAGATTGGGATTAATGATGAGAATCCAGTCACTGTCCCTGGGTCCCTTTATCACTGCACAGACACGGAGGCCAGAAACACACCTCCCCTTCTCATCAATGACACTGATTTCCCCCCTCGTCGAGCGTATAATGACTTGGTCTCTTCTGGCTTGGAGGGATACACACACGTACAGCCACAGACACACACAATTCTGTAGGGAGAATAGCTGCATCTAGAGAGAGAGGTGGCCTGCCAGGCCAGGCGTCTTGGGGGCAGTGAAATCCCAGGCAGCCTGTGCCTGTGGCTGGGTAGCGGGTCACTAATTGAGTGCAAACCTTTTATGATATGTTGTTTATCCCCTCCAGGGCATACAAAACCATTGAGGATGAGGACTTGAAGTTCCCCCTTATCTATGGAGAAGGCAAGAAGGTAGGTGTGCACATCCCTGGGCGGGGGGAGCCTGGCTTGCCCACAGCCACTTGTGGTTTCACAGCCTTGACACTTTGAAGATCACGCCATCCATCATCCTCCAGGCCTCTGTCTTCAGGGTCCGAGGAGGGGTGGAGCAGGGAGCCAGGTGGGCAGAGGGTGAGCACAAGGGACTGAAGTCAATTTTGCGAAAATAGGATCCGCCGTCCCAGTCCGTTTACTCACTTTTTGCATGTTTAAACATGACCACCCTCTCATACATCTTCTTATTTTATACCTGACAGTGGGTGCAGAGGCAGGTCAAGCTGGCTGTGCTGTATCCAGCTGGGTCCACGGGATTAAAGCCCCCCACTCAGGAGGGATCACGCAACCAACGAGAGGCAGCCCTGGGTTGGAGGCTTCCTACTTGCTCCTGGTGCTCTCAGAACTTGGACTTTGGGAGGCTTGGACTTTGGGAGTCCACCTCACCACTTGCTATATGGCGGGAACTCCAGTGCCTCCCTGTGACTCGGCTGTTGGGTCACATCCACCAGAGCCCAGGCTGAGGCAGCAAAGACCCTCCTCTGCTCCTGGGGGCCCCAGTTCAAATACAGCACATTGTGGAAGCAAAGGAAGTCGGAGACCCTGCAGTGGTCTCTGGCAGATGGGCAGAGGAGACTGGAATCCATTTCCCACCGGGAGCAAACACCTTCTGAGTTATCCTGTTCCTCCTCTGAACATGAATATGTTTCAGCTCAGGGCAGAGAGCTCCAACTGGAAGTAAAAAATATGTAGGCACATTGGGAAGAAACTGAATTTTTTTTCAGCATTCTGTGGTTTTTATCAAGAAGGAATAGGGCCAGACTCGGTGGCTCAGCCTGTAATCCCAGTGCTTTGGGAGGCTGAGGTGAGTGAATTGCCTGAGCCCGCGGGTTCAAGACCCACCCGGGCAACTTAGCAAAACCTCATCTCTACAATAAATCAAAAATTAGCCGGGCATGGTAGTGCACGCCTGTAGTTCCAGCTACTTGGAAGGCTGCGGAAGGATCGCTGGAGCCCAGCAAGTTGAGGCTGCGGTGGCCGGCAGCGTGCCCCTGCATTCCTGTCTGGGCGACATACTCCAACTCAAAAAAAAAAAGTTTAGTGGCAAGAACATGTAATTTTCTAGGGTTTTCTCAATGATGCAAAAAGTCCAATTCACCAAAGCATCCTGTTCCTCGAGCATTTCAGTTAATTAAGACATGACAGTCTTGTGTCAGACAGCAGGCAAGTTCTGTCACTGTACCTGTGGCCTATTTAAAAGATACCATGGCCGGACATGGTGGTTCATGTCTGTAGTTCCAGCACTTTGGGTGTCCGAGGTGGGAGGATCGCTTGAACCCAGGAGTTTCAGACCAGTCTGGGCAACACAGCAAGATCTCGTGTCTACAAAAAGTCAAAACAGGAACCAGGCATGGTGGCACACACCAGTAGTCCCAGCTACTCAGGAGGCTGAGGTGGGAGGATCACCTGAGCCCAGGAGGTCAAGGCTGTGGTGAGCCATGATTGTGCCACTGCACTCCAGCCTGGGCAACAGAGATCCTGATTCAGAAAAAGAAATAAAAATAAATTTTAAAAAGTCACCGTGGGCCAGGTGTGGTGGCTCAAACCTATAAACCAACAATTTGGGAGGCTGAGGCAAGAAGATTGCCAGAGCCCAGGGTCTCTAGACCAGCCTGGGCACTTGGTGAGACCTCATCTCTACATTAAATCAAAAACTTAGCCAGGCGTGGTAATGCGTGCCTGTGGTTCCAGCTACTTGGAAGGCTGAGGAGGAAGGATCACCAGAGTCCAGCAGGTTGACATTGGGGTGGCTGTGAGCGTGCCACTGCTCTCCAGCCTGAGCGACGGAGTGAGGCTCCAACTCAAAAAAAAAAAAAAAAAGCCACCATGTCTCCATTTTGCTTGCCCTGGTGGCCGTGCCCTGTACCAAGGTAGATCTCACAGCTGTCTGATTCCTCGGAGCTCTGTCCAGGCCTTCAGAGCACTTTTGTGGCCATCATTTCCCATTTTGTTTCTACACATGCTTAGAAGGATTTGGGGAGGTGACAGGTACCTTGTAAGCAACTTTAGTGGCCAGCAGAGACATCAGCCGTCTCTGACTGGAAAAAAGCACACAGGAGCTGCTGGTACAAGGAAGCCAGGAGTCTGCAGGGACTCCAAGTGTTCCCATTGAGAGTTGAGCACTCTGGGGCTGGAAGGAGCCAATCAGGCCTCCTGACAGAGCAGAGGTATCTGCTGTCTGATCAGAGGGCCCTGAGTCTGCCTCGTACCCTTGAAAATGCATCATGGGCTGGGCACAGTGGCTCAAGCCTGTAATCCCAGCACTTTGGGAGGCCGAGGCAAGAGGATTGCCCGAGTCCAGGGATTTGAGACCAGCCTGGGCAACTTGGTAAGACCTCGTCTCTACAATAAATAGAAAAATTTGCCGGGCATGGTGGCATACACCTGTAGTTCCAGTTACTTGGAAGGTCGAGGCTGAGGTGGTCATGAGCATGCCACTGCATTCCAGCCTGGGTGGCAGAGTGAAATGCCAATTCAAGAAAAAAAAAAGGAAATGCATCATGGTTTCATTTCAACTTGAATGTGAACTCCTCCACTGGCCTTTTGAACCAAGACCAGCTCTGAAATTCACAGCCCTCAGGGGAGACCAGGAGGACTCAGATGATGTGTGAGATTGTCATGTGTCTCAGCATTTATTAATTTCACTCTCACCCCTAGGGGGTGATGGCTCTCATTACCCAGGTAACAGAGGGAGGATTTGAGCTCAGTTCTCTGAACCATCACACTCCAGGGAGATATTATCATTAAAATTTTTTTTCTTTTTTTTTGCTGGGTATGGTGGCTCAAGCCTATAATCCCAGCACTTTGGGAAGCTAAATCAAGAGGACTGCCTGAGCTCAGGGGTTTGAGACCAGCCTGGGCAACTTGGTGACACCTCGTACTACACAATAAATCAAAAAATTAGCTGGGCATAGTGGCACATGCCTGTGGTTCCAGCTACTTGGAAGGCTGAGGCTGAAGGATTGCCAGAGTCCAAAAGGTTGAGGCTGCGGTGGCCATGAGCTTGCCACTGCACTCCAGCCTGGGTGACAGAGAGAGACTGACTCAAAAAAAAATTTTTTTTTTGTAGGGATGGGGTATCACTATGTTGCCCAGGCTGCTTTCAAACTCTTGACCTCAAAAGATTCTCCCGCCTCAGCCTCTCAAAGTGCTGAGATGACAGGCATGAGCCATGGGAGATATTCTTGTGAACTAATGGTGGGGCACTGGGCTTTGTTCCACCCAGGGTGACTTTTACCTCACCCCTTTGTGTCTGCCTGTCTCGATGACTGTCTGCTTTTCTATGCTAAGTTTAATGCCACCTCCTCCGAGGAGCCCTCTTGGTAGAATTTTTATATCCTCTAAACTCACATAACCCATCGTTTATGTGTCTTTCAGGACCAACCCTATTTTTTGTGTTCTTAGTTAGACAAGCCCCTCTTGTCTCCCTTACCAGTTCCTTTTTAGTAGGAACGAGGCCTTAGACATCTGTGCCCCCACCGCCACCTACACATCGTAGGTGCCCAGTAGATGTTTGGGTAAATTAAACCGGCGGCATCCTAGGAGATACTTAAGTTGACTGACTTGGCATTCATATAATAATGTTGCTCCCTGAAACCGTTCAAAAAGTCATTTAAGGGCCGGGCTCAGTGGCTCAGCCTGTAATCCCAGCGCTTTGGGAGGCCGAGGTGAGAAGATTGCCTGAGCCCATGGGTTCGAGACCCGCCCGGGCAACTTGGCAAGACCTCATCTCTACAATAAATCAAAAATTAGCCAGCATGGTAGCGTGCACCTGTAGTTCTGGCTACTTGGAAGGCTGAGGCAGAAGGATCACTGGAGCCCAGCAGGTTGAGGCTGCGATTGGTGGGAGCGTGCCCCTGCACTCCAGTCTGGGCGACAGAGTGAGACTCCAATTCAAACAAACAAACAAACAAAAGTCATTTAGGGCCAAGCACAGTGACTGATGCCTGTAATCCCAGCTCTTTTGGAGGCCAAAGCGAGTGAATTGCTTGAGCCCACGGGTTCAACACTCACTGGGCAACTTGGTGAGACCTTGTCTCTGCAATAAATCAAAAATTAGCCAGGTGTGGTAGTGCGTGCCTGTAGTTCCAGCTACTTGGAAGGTTGAGGCAGAAGGATCACCTGAACCCTGCAGGTCGAGGCTGCAGTGGCCAGGAGCGTGCCACTGCACTCCAGCCTGGGAGACAGAGTGAGACTCCAACTCAAATAAATAAATAAATAAAAATTAAAAATTAAAAAATCAGGTGTGGCGGCATATACCTGCAGTGCCACTACTCAAGAGACTAAGGCAGGAAGATTGCTTGAGCCCAGGAGCCAGAGGCTATATGGTAAACCGTGATTGTCCCACTGCCCTCTAGCCTGGGCAACAGAGTGAGACTCCTACTCAAAAAATAAGAAAATAAAAAACAGTCAAGCATGAGGTCTTAGCCCTGAGGTTTCTGTGATGCTACAGCGTCAGTGACATTTTGTTCCTTTTCACCCAAAGGGAGTTTGTGAGGATGTCAGCGGGACAGGCTACAAGGTTGCTAACGGCTTTTTTTCTCCAGCCATGAAACATGCCCGGTGAGCTCTGCCCAGGCCGGAGCTGCCTCAACTTTTCACACCTTTTGCTGTGCCTGTCACAGGACTGAGGACACAGCTGGTGTCCAGCAAATACTCATAGAGTGGGTGTGTCACAGAAAGGTGGGTGAGTGGGTGGGTTCTGCTAGATTTGGTATGAACTGATTTCAGCAGGTGTAGACATCATGCATGCATTGGAGTTTGTTTCTTGGACACCCTTCCCTCTAGTTTCAAAAAAAAAATAAAAAGAAAGCTGAGAAGAAACAGCAACTTGTCAAGCTTATGATCATGGCTTGCAAAACCACCCCTCACATACAGGAGTGATTTGGGCGAGCCCTTTCAACCGCGCCCACCAGGGGCATGGAGAGTTGGGTGGGAGGAACGGGACAATTCTCTCATGGCTCTTAGCATGGTGGCCATGCCGTGGTGGGACGCTCTCACAGTGTGTATGCGAGTGTATTTCTGATGACCCTCTGCACTCCTAGGCCCGGGTGATGGCAACTATCGGCGTGACCAGGGGACTTGGGGACCATGACCTGAAGGTACACGACTCCAACATCTACATAAAACCATTCCTGTCGTCAGCTCCTGAGGTAAACCATGAGGTTTTTGTTTATATTGTGTACAAGGAAATATTTCCTGTGCGATTCCTCCCAAGACTCTCACACTCACATCCAACCCGTGTGTCCCCCCGCCCCCCGCGATGTGGCTCCTGTCTGTTTTTTTCCCGCTCTGTCCTCACTTGGACTCTCCCGGCTCCTACCTCCTCACCCCCTGTCCAGATGGCTGTGTCACCTCCCGGGGGGCACTTGCTGCCGCCTCCAACTCACCCCACATGTCGCTTTCATCAGGTGAATTTCCTGAAGAACTGCTCTGACCCCTACTTCCCCCAATACCTTCAGGGGCACCCGCATGGGGAGAATAAGGCTCAGGCTTCTTCACTTGGCATTCAAGGCTTGTTATACCTCAGCCTGGCTTTCTCCTCGGGTCTTTGTGCCTCTGCCCCAGCCAGCAAGAACGTGCCTCTTCCTGAACGTGACCTTCAGTTTCCCATATGTGCTTAAACGACTCCTTCTGCCACAAACACCCTTCCTCCCCATCTTCAAACTGCCAAATTCTATTCTTTCCTCTCGAGTCTCCAGCGCCTTTCCCATGGAAACTCCCCTGATGGCCTCCTCCCTCCCCCAGCCAGGAATAACATCTTTCCCTACTTGAGATCTCAGTAGAGCAGCCGCCCCCGTGGCGTGTCCACCACCCCCCTTACACCATTATTCGTGTTCGTCTTATTCCTTTGTTAGATTTTAATTACCTGGGGAGCGTGTACCATTCCGCGGATGTTTGGAGAAGTCAGTTTTCTAAATTGGTCATATATCTGGTTTTTAAGAAATCACTGATAAAACAAGTTTTGTAACCTGTGTATTCACATGAAAGTCAGGAGGGTCCATTTTCTTACACAGCATGGCAGAATACGGTCCATTGTTGTTATCCTTAAAAAAAGGTTGGGGGGAGATTCCCTAATAAAAAACTTCATATCTGTAAAGAGTTTTCTACTTTTAAGTCTGGAGCAATGCAAAATAAACTGTAGGTATTAACTGCTAATCTGGATTAAATGCAACCAAAACTAAAAATAAATAAATAAATAAATCACAGTTCTTATGATACAGGAAACAATATCAAGTTCCAGGTTGACTTTCAGAGTGTGTCATTTAGAAAAGATTTTCCTTGCAAGTTGTAGAAAAGTCTAACTGGTAATATCCTGTGATAGATTTTGCTCACAGAATAAGAAGGCTGGGACCTGGCGGCTGCTGGTGTGGGTTCAGCACCACCTCCCTATTTCAGGGCTGAGGCATCTCTGCACTTCCCTGACTTTCCCTTCAGGGCTGTGGAGTGGTGGCTGCAATGCCAAGCCTAACATTTTCTTTTTGAGTTGGGCTCTCACTCTGTTGCCCAGGCTGGAGTGAGTGGCACAATCACGGTTTACTACGGCCTCTGACTCCTGGGCTCAAGTGATCTTCCTGCCTTAACCTCCTGAGAAGTTGGAGCTGCAGGCACATGCCACCACACCTGGCTAATTTTGGGTTTTTTTTGTAGAAACAAGGTCTGACTGTGTTGCCCTGGCTGGTCTCAAACTCCTGGGCTCAAGCAGTTCTCCTGCCTAGGTCTTCCAAAGTGAATGAAAAGTCTTAACATTTTCATGCAAGGCTGGGGTGGTGGGGGCGGCCTCTGTCCCAGTGGATACTCACTTGCCTCTCATTGGCCAAGGCTTTGTCACATGACCTCCTAGCTGCAAGGGAGGCTAGGACAGCAAGGGCTTCAACTTTTCCAACTTCTATAGTAGACGGGAATTAGGAATGAGCCAGGAGTCAATGGTGTTTACTCTTCTGCACAATTGACTATTGAAATGATGCACTAGAAATGCCCAAAACATTTAGACATAAATATGCACATTCTTCCCAAGAGTAGGTGCTCTTTTAATGACAGCTCTTTTGGTTGGAGGACACAAAGACCCACTCAAGCTCACTTTAAAAAAAATTAAGGTTGGGCTCGGTGGCTCAGCCTGTAACCCCAGACCTTTGGGAGGCCGAAGCGAGTAGATTGCCTTGAGCCTATGGTTTTGAGACCCACCTAGACAACTTGGTGAGACCTCGTCTCTACAATAATTCAAAAAATTAGCCAGGAGTGGTAGCATGCGCCTGTAGTTCCGGCTACTTGGAAGGCTGAGGCAGAAGTATCGCCGGAGCCCAGCAGATCAAAGATGCAGTGGCTGGGAGCATACCACTGCACTCTAACCTGGGTGACAGAGTGAGACTCCAACGCAAAAAAAAAAATTAAAAATTAAAAAGGAGGTGTGCAGCAGCACTGGAAGAGATGTGTATGGTGTCTGCGAGAAGAACCACTGAACGGCCAGGCTTTGTGGAAGTGTGGTCCTGGAATCAAAGAAGTACACATAACCTCCCAGCAGAAGTCCAGCAACCTTCACGTGGAGTCTGCCCCTGGTGTGGTCAGCCACGCCCTCTTCCAACCAACCCGACTTCTCACTCCTCCAACTCCACCTTTCTAGTGTGGAGTTAGATTGTCCCCACTCCCTTGCGTATCAGGCCTCAAGTGACTTCCAGGCTGTAGAGTGTCCCTTCAGAGCATAGGCACTTACACGGGCACAGGAAGCCACTGAGGCCCAGAAGCTTGGCAGGGCTGTGAGCAGGGGTAGTTTTTTAGAGTTCTTTAGAGCTGGGACTGGGGCCAAGAGGTCACTGAGGGAGAAATCTCTAGTAAACATTGGGCATGGAATGTACACACGTTTCCTGGTGGCACCCGGGGTTTCACATGAGCTCAGTTCAGTAGAGATCATCATTGCCATTTGTCGAGATGTTGCAAGTGTTCCCTCTTTGAGCCTCACGGCAATTCTGCGTGGTGAAAGCCATGATGGCATAAGGTTGGGGTTAATAATGAGGCTGGTGGATTCCTGGTCCCCATATGCCGGCCAACATCAGGTTCTGTGAATTACTATAAAAATTACTTCTCGCCAGAGAAGGGCAGTAATCATTGGACCTCGGACTCTGTTTTCTTTGAATGCCACTGAGCACAGGCTTGAAACTGGACTTTGGACTTCTGTGTCTTCCCGCTTGGGAGAGAGGCACGTTCAATGGTGCCTTCACCTTGCTACTTTCCAGAAGCATCCCTGGAGATCCCAGTTAACCATCTTACTCCTTAGAGCAGAGTGTAATCATCTGTCTCCCCTCCTGCTCCCCTATATACATGCCTATACCTCAGGAAACAGCTCAGCTTGATTTGGAGGAGAGTGACTTTTGTGCAGTTAGATTTCCGATCTCCCAGTCACCCTGCTACTGTGGGTCCCAGGAAGAGACTAACAGGAAGAGACTAACTAAAACTTGGGCCTGCATGGAAGACTGAGGACTGGGTCAGAAGCCCAGGCAGTGGCTCAGAAACTTCACGGCTCCCAGTCGGAATGGCATGGATTTGCAGGGCAGTGGGTTGACTGCTTCAACCCTGGGCCTGACGATTTAGGAGGAAACTGTCAACCCTACAAAAACTTAAATACTCCTAGGAAAGTTAAGGGGTTGAATAAAGTGTGGAAGTTTTTGTAATAATAACAGCGACAGCTAATATTTTTTAACTATCTAGTCTGGGTCAGACAACATACTACGTTTATTTAAATTTTTAATTGACAATAATTGTATATATGGGGTACCATGTGAGGTTTTGATATATGTTTATGTTGTGGGATGATTAGATTAAGCTAATTAGCATGTGCATCACCTGGTATACTTATCTTTTTTTGTGTGTGGTAATGACACTTAAAAATCTACTCTTTAGCCGGGCTCGGTGGCTCAGCCTGTAATCCCGCGCCTTTGGGAGGCTGAGGTGAGTGGATTGCCTGAGCCCGTGGGTTCGAGACCCACCTGGGCTTCGAGACCCACCTGGGCAGCGAGACCTCATCTCTACAATAAATTAAAAAAAAAATCAGCTGGGCGTGGTAGCGCATGCCTGTAATTCCGGCTACTTGGAAGGCTGAGGCGAAAGGATCGCCGGAGCCCAGCAGGTCGAGGCTGCGGTGGCCGGGAGCGGCCACTGCACTCCAGTCTGGGCAACCGAGTGAGACTCCAACTCAAAAAAAAAAAAAAAAAAAATCTACTCTTTTAGCAAAGTAAAAGTACACAGTGCTTTATTAATTGTGGCTGCCATGCACCATTAGAAATGCAGATCACTAAAGGGCATTCCTCCTAAGTGAAGCTTTGTACCCTTTGATCTGTATCTTCCTATCTTCATCCAATATACTAAGGTTTTTCCACAGAATCTCTCATTTCATCCTCAACAACAGCTCTGAGATAAGTATTGTCATTATACCCATTTTACAGATTAGGAAATTGAGACCCAGAGAAGTAAAATAACTCCCCAAGGTTATGCAATTATTAAGTAGTAAGATGGACCTCTTCCCCAGGCCTACCTAATTAGATCAGGATCTGTAGGGGAGAGAGAGGCTGTGTTCCAGGAATTTTCTTTGGTCATTGTCCTGGAGACCCACTGAGTGCTGGTCAAGGGGCTCTGAGGGGAACACCTTTGTCCTGAGCCTGGGAGAGCAGCTTTATCTTGGGACCTCAGGGACCAGAGTGTTTCCAAGAAACACCATCAGCCTCAGACTGAAACTGTGAAGATGACAGTAGGGTGGAAAGGGTACTTAGGAAAGGCGGTTATGGCCGTCTGTGTGCCCACAAACCTAGGCTGGACAGATTTGTGCAAAATAAGACTGCATACCTGTACTTTAGTGCAGTGGGGATATAATGTGTATTCTAAGATCCTCTCGCGTGGGATTAAAATTGTTGCACATTTTAAATGCTTCCAGATGGAGAGGCCTGAGCCAGGAATGGGGGGAAGAGGACGCTGTTAGGAGGAAAGAGGAAGACTGGCTCGAACCAGAACAGAAGAAAGGGTACAGGTCCAGGGAACCCTAGTTTTGGGGAGCAGAAGCCCCTTTGCCCTGGTGGGTGGTAGTGATCAACTCATACCCAAGAGAAATGGCTAGGGGCCTTCGCTGAAGAGCCTAGAATGCCGGGTTAATTTCTTTAAGCCATCC